GGATGGATGGATGGATGGATGGATGGATGGATGGATGGATGGATGGATGGATGGATGGATGGATGGATGGATGGATGGATGGACGGACGGACTGACTGACTGACTCTTGGTCTATGAACTCTGAACTCCTATAGTGGATTTAACACCCAAAGAGTACATTCACAGACTAGGCCTCTACAGCTACAGGCACCGAACGAAGCTGAGAAAAACTTTACTCTCCATTTTGCTCTCAAACAGACCCGTTACCCAGCCTGGCAAATAATTTATCTCAGATGGTTTAAATTTTTTATTTGCTTTCTAACTCTATGGCATTTTTTGAGTCAAGATAGAGCTGTGAGATCTGTGACATCTGTTACATTGCTTTGGTGATAGTCCAATCATGTTTAGCTAACTTGTAATCTTTGTATTTATAATGTATTTTTTGGCTAAACTCATCGATACACCTGAAAGAATGATTAGGGAAATGTTATAGTGAACACATGGAGCCGCGTGAATCTCCATCATTCAAAAGACTGTCTCCCATAAAAATCGATGCAGCAAACGGCGGTTTAATTGGAGAAATTAACCTCCTCTGCAGGGCATGCAAATATCTTTTTTGTTTAAATTTTGTTCTCAATTTTGTTGCAAAGCAGAGTAATGAACAGGAAATTGGTAAATGTTCCACATTGTTAGATGTTTTGAAAAAATAAAAAACATAAATATTTGCTAAAAAACAAACAAACATTGCTTATTTATTTATTTATTTTTCCAAAGGGATTTTCATATGTTTGGAAAAGCTACATTTTTAGTATTTAGAGAATAACTCCTATTTAGTTAGGAAAACATTCCATGAAAGTTTTAATATTCCATTTCTAACACCTAGTTGGTGCAATTAAGTGTTAAATTATCAACTCCAGAAAGTTTTATCATTTAACACTAAATAAGAGTTACAATACCAACTCTCCAAAAAGACCAAATTAAAACTCACTTGTGTGGAGCCATGTAGACACTTCAAGGGTGTTAAAATCAGATCTGACAGTGTTGATTTGAGCATGTTGGATTTGCTGTGAAGGTATTTGACTTTGTGTTGTTGGTACAGGATGTATAAAATCCTTTCAAGACAGATTCTCTAAATATAGTCTCTATAATATAGTCATTCATGTGGGGAAATATTTATAAATGTAAGTGCAATAATCTTTATCATCCAATTAAAATCGTAGGCCTCTTATTCTCCTCTGCTCCCACTTCCTCTTTTCTCTCCCTCAAGAGTTTTTTTGCTCTAAGATGTGCAACTTTTCTCCTCTCTTCATTCACTCATCTTTCCTCTGAGTATTAAAGAGACAGAAACCATCTGCATAAAAACCTTTGCAGGGTCGCAGGTGGCAGTATTGAAATTTCCAATATAAAAAACATTTTGCATTCAAATGCAATGAGGAGTTTCACATCCAAATGATGTTCCTGCAGCTGTGGTCTTAACTGGTGTTGAGAAAAGAATCCGTGAATGCCTGTAGTTGTGAATTGTTACCAGTTTTCTGCTCTTATAGCTGACAGGAGGGACGCCTGTTGTGGCCTCTTCCTGTTTTGGTCCAGCACCTTCAAAGTTGTTGTGTGGTCAGAGATTTTATTCTGCATATATTCCTCCTAAATAAAATGCCTTCCTGTCATTTCAAACCAGTCATCAACCTCAAAACAACATTTTTCTCCACACAGCCGCTCTCATAGAATATTATATTACCGTCTTCAGATCATTCTCTGCACATCTTAGAGATGTTTTTTGTCTGAAAAGTAGATCAGCAGTCAAATTGAAAGTCCTTAAATCCTCTGTCTGTTTCCTATTTTGTCCTTCATTTAAACATTCATATGTTGTCCTTGCTGCCTCTTGATGCCTACATGCATTGAGTCGCTGCCATTGATGGGTTGATGCGCCATGTTTGTATGTCGGAGTTGTAACCCTTATGCCACAATATGTTTTGAGCGTCTTAATAATCTGTGGCGGCCTGGCTTAGCTTGCGCTCACATAAAAACTGTTAAGAGTGTCTGATGCAATAGAGGATGATCCTCTTTGTCTACCATAAAAAAATGAGGGACATATAGAGTGAAGGATATATAAAATCAAAGCAACATGCTGAAAAAGGAAGGGATTTAATGATGCTTTAGGGTTGCGAAATTCAGGAAATCTTTTAAAGTTTGAATCTTTAGATGGGAGCTCCTGGCTTGTGATTTCGGTTTTATATTCAGCTAGGGTAAAAAGTTTTAGCATAATCTTGACTCAAACAAGAATATTTCTCATAACTGCAATGGAGTATATCTTCACTATGTTCCTTCTTCACATATGAACTGCTCACTGCAGGCCTATATGCCCTCAGCGTTTCTCTATCACAGCATATATGACATCAACAACCCTGTGCTGCTGAGGCGTCATGTCTTATAGGGGCTGTTACTGAGGGCCACTGCCTGGACGGCTTTGGTAAAAATGTAGAAGCTGGGTTTGAGAAGTTGGAATAAAGAAGGTTTTCTATTAACAAGCTAAATGGGACTTTTTTTTAGAACTGAGTGGCCTTCAATCTTTGATGTGACACTTAGGAAAACATCAGATAATTTGGGAAATAACCTTTTACTCAAACCGTAATTTTCAGAGAAAGTTTCAGGAAATGTAATAAAACTTTTCCACCTTTGAACAAACATATTTGCCACGAAACAAAATCTCTTTTTAATTTAAATTCATTTCAGGGAAGAAAAAAAAATATACAAAATCTGTTTTTGGATAATCAGCTGAATATGTTGGAACTCAAATGAAAAGCACATTTATTGGTTCAATGGATATTATGTGGAATGTCCCTTGTTTCCTCAACTAGTAGCTTCCTGTGATCCCCATCCCCATCATATTTTTAGCACTTTTTAGAATTAAGAATATTACAATGTGTTTTGGAATAAAGACAGCACAGGAGAATTTAGATAATGATGAGAAAAGTGTAATAAAGAATAAAAAAATCAACAAATGATGGAGAAAAAAAAAAATGAGGTTAAAGAAAAACCAGACAACCCCAATTGTGAAATCAAATAAAATTTGGGCTCATTTTTGGTGAAACTGTTGGAATAAAGATTATTTCTGAACAGAAATCCCAGCTTAAACAAGTAGAGAAGCACAGAGTTGTGTCAACAATGCCTGGATTCCCCTTTTAAATCCTTTCACATTGATTGTTTAGTCCAAAGTAAGCAAAAGCAGCTTTATCCAAACCTATCTGGCCCTTCACTGAAAAACAATCTAGAAATAAGTAAAAATGTCTTAAATTAAGTGTATTTACCCTTAATTTGAGTAGGTAAATGAGATAGTTTGCCAATTGGATGGGTATTTTTACTCTTAAAATAAGATAATTAGATGATATACACTTGAAATAAAACAACATAACTGCATTTGTTCTTAAATTGAGAACGTAAAAGAGACATTTTGCCAAAAGAAAATGACAATTTAGGTTAAAAATAAGAAAATCACTATTGCATTAAGAAAAAATGACTTACCTAGATACGATTTTTTCCAAATCTTTATAGTCCTTGCATCTTAAACTCAATCATCTGCCGTAAAACTGGCCAACCATTTTGTGGTAGTGGATGTTTTAAAGTAGAGGACTTAAAATAATGCTGTTAAACGAAAACGAAAGCCTGAGCTTCTCTGTGCGATGAATCTGATCTGATAGCCCTCTACAGTGTCTGCTTTAGGAAAGTGCCAGAATAAGTTCTCAATGTTCAAAGGAGCCCTCTGAAGACCTTTAGAAAGCATAAGAACTGCTTTTTGATCCAGTCTTAGTGGATTAAAATAAAGCCTGCTGTTCAGAAGGCAGATAAAAAAGAAATTAGTCAAAGTTCGCACCTCGAACCTCCAGCTTGCACTCCACCTCGTCCTCCCCCAGGTCATTGATGGCCCTGCAGGAGTACCGACCCCCATCAAATAGGCTTGCCTTGCGGATATTCAGAGTTAACACCCCCTGGTTGTTCTGCATCAGGAACTTGGGGTCCCCATCGATGATCATACTGTTCTTCATCCAGATGATCTTTGGCTGAGGTGCAATGGGACAGGGTAGAAGGATGGAGCAGCAGCGGGTTTTATCAGGATGGAGGGATTGGGAAGGAGAGGAGAGGTAGAATAAAAAATCAGGTCAGGTTTGTGGTTCCGACAAATCTGATTTTGAGGGATGTAAATATTTGTCCTGCTCATTTAGGCTTCTGACAAAAAACAAAACAAAAAAAAACAACAACAAAAAAAACCTGCTGCAAAGACATTAAAACCGTTTGTATTCTTTTTCTCTCACAGTTTGTCACATAAAACACTGCAGCCAGAGGAAGTAAAATATGTGCAGGAGGCGCCTTCAGAGTCTGCAGCCTTCTTCGCTGCTGCAGGGTACAATAACTTCTCTCTGTGCATTCCACAGGTTTACTGTGCTGTATTTCTTTTCTTCTTTATTCTCTCAGCATTTCATCCTCATGCTTACATAAGTCTTCAAGAGGGACCATATTTGTAGAAAAGTATCACAGCATATATACATATATGCATATAAAAAAGGTAAAAAAGACAATATTAATGCCAAAACCCAATAAACTAAATTAAAAATAAGTATCTTATACATTCAATAACATACATTACTTTTTTATTCATTTAAATTTATTTTTTCCTTGCTTGCTTATTTTATGTTTATCTTTTCTATTAATTTATGATTTTTAAATGAGAAGCAAATATTTTTCTAATAAGTAAATAATAAATAAATAAGTAAATAAATCTAATTAAGTAAGATACTGTAAGATTAAAGATTGAAAGTACAATAATTGTTTCCTTTTTGTGATATTTATTTCCGTTAAGTTCCCCATTGATCTTTCGTTTCAAGCCCTTAACTAACAATAAAAAGCACATCAATTACATAAACTGCATTTCTGATTAACCAATATACTTTTATTCCGATTTACTTACTAAGTTCTCCGGATTGAAAAGGAAAATGTTTCCTTTGGCTTTTAACTTTAAAGTTAAGTCAGATACCTTTGGGTTTCCACGAACGGCGCAGCTGATGGCTGCAGTGTAGCCGGCGATCACGCTTCTGTCCAACAGACGAGCGGTGAATTTAGGGGAGCCGCTCATGTCCTTCTCCTTGTAGGCTTTGGGCTGATAGATCAGACCTAAACAGAAAAAGCCATGTTTGCAATAATCAATCTGCAAACAGTAAAGAAACATCTGCTTCAAGGCAAAAGCAAGAAACTGCCTTGTGAAGAGTTTTCCTTGGACAAGCTGGATTATCACCTTCTGAAACAAAATCTGACTGAATCAGTGGTCACATCTGAAGAATGTTCTGACCCAAGTTACAAATATTGGTCAATTGAGTTATTTACTTTATGTCTAAAAGGTACAGTGTGTAATAATTACAGGCAGAGGCGTATCCAGAACAATTTTATAAGGGTGGCCAGGCAATAACCAATGTACACTGAAGGGTGCCCGACAGCGGATCGGAACCTTAGGGTCAATCTATACTGGTCCAACAGGAAAATGAACAACCAAAACAACCATATTTTTCAAATAAAGACAAACTATACTTTCCTACAGCCTTTGCTAACAAATAGAAGCATATATTTAAACCTCCATCTAGATAAAAGGTATAGTGGATAAAATTCTTTCAGGTTTGAGTTCTGGTTCAAACATCTTTTCCATTGTCATTACTTACCTACTTTTATCAATAATCATTCTGCATAAAATTGATATTTAAAAGTACTAATATCTACAAAAATTGTTTACTTACTAAGTTTTTATTAGAATAGTTATTTATCTATGATTTAACTGAAGACTGACTTGCATTTTCTCTTTACCCCCATATAACACAAAATCTAGTTCTGAAAAGAGCATGAATTCTGTATTTATTATCTTTAACATTAGTATATTGAACTGCATAAATAACCACAGTGTTTTTGTTGTCAAGTAGACTTAGACTTTAGACAGATTTTGTTTGTAATTTTGTTTACACAAGTGTAAAACAAAAAGAAATTTCGTTTGAAACAGCTCACTGGACAATTTCATCTTTTTAAAAGTGCAGCCTTGAAAAATAGTAAAAATGACAGTAAATTTACAGTTCTAACAGTTTTTTTAAAGTAATTGTTAATCTATGAAAAATTAAAAATATTTTGAATATTTAGCGTATTACTGTAGTATCACTGGAGAGTATTATGGGGGAAAAAATGGTAGGGGGGGCCAGGGGTGGCCATGACAACGCTTGGCCAATCTTTGGCCACCCCTACCATTAAGCTCCGCCCCTGATTATAGGGATTTAAATGTAATATATTATCTATTTGTATGTTATTTATTATCACCTATGAAATGAAAGTCTTCATTTTTACAGTAGGTTTGACGTGCCTTAGAAACTGCTATTTGTAATTAAAATTGGAGTGGGTTCGAGGGATGGCGTTATTTAGGCCTACAGTATATACAGTCCTGCACAGACTAATAAAATACTATTTATAAAGTTATCTACATAAACTAGATTTACTCCGCCCATAACAAGCAGCCGCCTAGTTCTTATGATGGTTTCAAGTGCTAGTTGTTCAATTTTTGATGGGGGTTTTTCTGGGCAGACTTGCATCTTTCTCCTCTCCGCGGTCTGTGTTTGATTTGGTCAGAGCACCCAAAACAGGGGGACAAATCACCTTCATCATCATTAGTTGCTTTTTTATTTTCTTTAGTCCAACTGTTTTTAATGTTCTTTTTTTGTTTCTGCATTTTTTATTTATATATTTTTTCCTACTTGCTTTGATTCTGTTTTATTTTCCTATATTTTAATCATCTAAAGCACTTTGCATTGTCTTTGTGCTGAATTGTTCTATACAAATAAATTTGCCCTACCTTGCCTTGCCTGGGTTAAAAAAAGGTAAGGGGTTATGGCGTTCCTGAGCTGAGACAGGAGCAGCGTGGAATCAATATGAGAACAGCGGTCAGTGTCGATGTACTTGATCAGTATTGAAAAACAGTATTGAAGAATTTATGGATTTGATGTTATGATCTTTAAAGAAACCCCATCATCACTTGAAAGGCTAGATGGCTTGTTCCACCCCTCGTCAAACCATCCATTCTCTTTGTCCAAAATCTAAACATTTTAGTCATCAAAGGTGTCTCCTGTGTTCCTGAGGTGTAATCATATATCTGAAACTTCCCCAGAGCTGCTGGGTCTCCCGTGCTGTAACATACTTTTGTGTAGTTGTTTTTTTTCTCTAGTACGGGAGTTCAAACAGGCACTGCTTAGCTTTGGTTTTGGGGTTCTGGTTTTGAGATGAAGTAGTTTTTGTCTGAGTGTGCCTTTGGGTTTGAAATTCACTGGTATGTTGTGTTTAGGGAAAGGCCTCCTAAGTGTTCCAGAAACTCCTGACTCCTGACTTGGTTGTGTTCCCTTGTATGTTCACCGCTTCCATGTAAATATTAAACACAGTGGCTGAAACCGGCGAGTCCATGGCACAGCCATGTTTCGGTTGGTAAAGATTTCCACTGTATTTTAAATAGCTTGAAAAAGTTCAGTTTAGGAAACTGGATGTGGTCTTTCACACATAAGAGGACTTTATTCTAAAGACAAGATGCTAGACTTTGATAAGAAAACATGCAGCTAACATAATTACATTTGGGGATATAGTGTAGGAAGAGAACCATGGCTTAGAATTGCTTTTGCATTGGCCCACTTTAAACTAACTGATGTAAGGAAGCACATATCATAATACCGCCACATAAATTAGAATAAAACGTAGGCTTACTTCATCTAGGTGTAAAACTTGATGCTTCAAAACACTTGCAATACGGTGCATTGATGCATTACGTGGTTGGTAAATCCACATAGTTTAAGTTTGTTCTGTATTTTAAATATGACAATAACAAGTTCTGCTCCTGAGTTCATACAACAAGTCATAGATGACAATCATGCATGATTTCTTTTTTATATTATAAAAGTTGAGAGAGCAGTTGTATTCTAGCCAATGTCAGTTTCATTTCAGTCGGTGTCTTTTGTTAAGAGTCCAGAACTATGCAGGGATTTTATTCACCTGCTTTGGTAATGACAGCGGTGTTCTTGCTGCTGCCGGGATCGTCGCTGAGGCCGCAGATGTTTTCGCTGAACACTCGGAAAGAGTACTCGTTCCCCATGACCAGGTCGGACACAGTGCAGCTGGGCCTGCGGTTGTGCTCATAGACCGTGAACCACTCCTGAGACAGAGAGAGGAAGCAGCAGCTCAGAGAAGCTCACATCTGAAGTTCAGGCCTATAAATTTAACAAACTTCCATCCGCAGCATCTATTAAAGCCGTATCAACCCACTATTTATCCAATCTAAGTTATTAAACCTAATGACATTGAAATAACAAACAGCTCTAATGATGGGTAAAGTTAAAAATAACTACCGGGAAAATTATTCAAGAGAAGGAAAGGAAATTACAGGTTAACGGGTATACGTCAAAATTAAACACAGACGATTAGATTTCTGTCTATGGGGAAAAGATCTGTAACATTAATTAATGTCCAAACATCGTAAAAAGGCTTTAAAAAGATGATTATAGATTATTATTATGCTTGAATAATCATTATTATTATTACCATCTATTACCTTTTACATAATTGAATATTATATTATTCTTTATCCTCTTGATGGAACATACTTTATTTTTTAATAGATGTTTTAGCTACAAAGATTGTATAAAATTTTTCTCATTTTATTTTATCAATAAGAAAAGAGTTATCCTTTGAGGCTGTGGAGGATGTATGTTAATTATGAACACGCTGCTGACATTATCCTCAAACACATCATCCCTTCAGCTAAAATTTTTCTAGCGGTTTTAAGATAAAGCTTTTTCCTTCCACTTTATTTTCTAATTTTCTCCTCATACTGACTAAAATGTTAAGGCCTGTTGGATCTGAGATGGACTTCTATGGTCTTTCTGATTTCTCTGATCAATGATATCTGATTGGTAGATAGATTGCTTTACTGATTTCTTGCCTGTAATGATATCCTCAGAACAAATTGAAACAAGCAGAGATTACATTTTAAAAGCCAGTCCAAGAAAAGCATGAGCAGATGAGTTGGCTTATTACGCCTGCACAGTCTGACTTTGTGGTGAATTGTTTTTCGTTTGTAAAAAAAATATTTTTTTCTCAGTTAAATGTTAATGAATGGTCTGGAAACTGTCAGAAAACCTTTCCCTGAGCAATGGATAGTGTTGCGCCAATGCCATTTTTGGACCTCGATACCGATACCTGTGCAGTATCAGCTGATACCGATACCATACCGATGCTATCTGTTTGAATGGTAAATGGTAAATGGCCTGTACTTATATAGCCCTTTTTCAAGTCAGGAGACTCGACCAAAGGGGTTTATACTACATTCAGTCAAGCTACATTTTAGCTACAGCTGCCCTGGGGCTCACTGACAGAGGCGGGGCTACCGT